TCAACTTTTCAAAAAACTTAGAATAGCAGAGATTTTGAGGTTTTGTCTCCAGCTTTTAGATGCCGGAAGTTCGGAATGGAGCCGGAAATACAGCCGGATTTAATCGGGAAGTTTTTTTCTTGACCACCTTCCACACTCTTTACCTTATAATTCAATTCACAGTTCAATCATGGGCCGATTTTGAGCATTCTAAGATACCAAAAAGGCGCAGATTTGAGGCTTTTGAGGGCGGGGTTGACAAAACGGAAGTTCCTCTAAACGCAAAAGCTACAGTCGGATTGGCCCAAGAAGTTTCGTTTTTCGTAACCCTCCACAGTTTTCACTCCAGAATGAGGCGAATTTAGAGAGGACTTCAACTTTTGAAAAAACGTAGAATAGGAGAGATTTTGAGGTTTTCTCTTTAGCTTTTAGATGCCGGAAGTTCGGAATCCAGCCGGATTTACTCAGGAAAATTTTTTATTGACCACCTTCCACAGTCTTTACCTTATAACCAGTCCAATCATGGGCCGATTTTGAACGTTCGAAGGCATCAAAGAGGCGCAGATTTGAGGCTTTTGAGGGCGGGATTCAGAAAACGGAAGTTCCTCTAAACGCAAAAGCTACAGTCGGATTGGCCCAAGAAATTTCGTTCTTCGCAACCCTCCACACTTTTGACTCCAGAATAAGTCCAATTTAGAGAGGACTTTAAATTTTGGAAAAACGGAGAAAAGCAGAAATTTTGAGTTTTTGTCCCCAGCTTTCAGATGCCGGAAGTTCGGAATCCAGCCAGAATTACAACCGGATTTACTTAGGGAAATTTTTTATTGACCACCTTCCACACTCTTTACCTTATAACAAGTTTAATAATGGGTCGATTTTGAGCGTTCTAAAGCACTAAAAAGGCGCAGATTTGAGGCTTTTGAGGGCGAGATTCAGAAAACGGAAATTCCTGGAAACGCCAAAGCTACAGCCCGATTGGCCCAAGAAGTTTCATTTTTCATAACCCTCCACACTTTTCACTCCGGAATGAGTCCAATTTAAAAAGACCTTTAAATTTTGAAAAAACGCAGAAAAGCAGAAATTTTGAGCTTTTGTCTCCAGCTTTCAGATGCCGGAAGTTCGGAATTCAGCCGGAAATACAGCGGGATTTAATCGGGAAATTTTTTTATTGACCACTTTCCACACTCTTTACCTTATAACCATTTCAATAATGGGCCGATTTTGAACTTTCTAAGACACCAAAAATGCGCAGATTCAAGGCTTTTGAGGGTGGGATTCAGAAAACGGAAGTTCCTGGAAACGCAAAAGCTACAGCCCGATTGACTCAAGAAGTTTCGTTTTTCGTAACCCTCCACACTTTTGACTCCAGAATGAGTCCAATTTCTAGAGATCTTTAAATTTAAAAAAAAACGCAGAAAATCAGAAATTTTTAGTTTTTGTCCCCAGCTTTCAGATGCCGGAAGTTTGGAAACCAGCCGGAAATACAGCCGGACTTAACCGGGAAAGTTTGTCATTGAACATCATCCACACTCTTTACAGCATAACGAATTCAATTATGGGTCGATTTGGAAATTTCAAAAACCCCAAAAAGGCGCAGAAAGTGGGCTTTTAAATGCGGGTTTCATCTGAGGAAAGTTTATGAAAGCACAGTCGCTACAGCCAGATGGATGCAGGGAAATTAAAATTCAATTCCTTTCAATTCAAAACCCTCTGGACTTTTTGCTCAATTTTAGGGAAGATTTTTTTAATAAAAAAAAACTTTAACAAAGAGAATATTTCAAGCTTTCGCCTGCATATCTCAAATGCGAGAAACTCAAAAAAACGCTAGAAAGTAGAAAAGGGTCGAATTTTAGCGGAGAAGTTTTTCCCGTCAAACCATCACTGAACTTTTCGCCTAGTTTTCTCAGCAAGTTTTCAAAATTGAGCAATCGCAGGAAAGCGTAAATTTGTAGCTTTCTAATGCAGGTTTCCGATAGCGGAAGCTACACCGGAACCCGGAAAAATTCGTATTGCAAAACCCTCCAGACGCTCCAGTCGCCCCAGAACGACCTCAATTTAGAGATTCCCAGTTTTTCAAGTTTTCGTCGAGTTTATCCAGAAAAACATTTTTTTTAAACCATCCATTTAGGGACTTGGAGGGTTAAATATTAGACAATCTTGAGTACGATCTACTGGAAAATTCAGTCTTTATTATTGAAAATCTACAGAAAAGGCATCGGTAAACTAGTACTCGATGGTTTTTGGACCAATAAGGCGCAATAAACAAAGATGATAGTAGTAATAAAAACACCCAAATACACAAAACATCATAAATATAAATAAATCTCACAAGGCGAAAACGTGGTAAGGTTGATTGCAATTTTTGGTATAGACTAGTTCTTAACACTCTTAGCGTGGCCAACGTTTCCTAACTGGTTTGGTACTGTAATGGACGTAACTGAAGGCACTTTGTTCATTCAGTGAGTTTCAGAAATAGTGTCTAATGCCCGGTTTTCGAACTCCAACATATCGGTTACATAAGCTTATGAGTCTCATAAACTACCAAAATCACGTCTGTTGGGTTTCTCAACGTC